TACTTCTTTTTGTGAACTTTATATGTCTTTGTGGTTTACTTTATGGGCATGAATAGCTGGTTTGTCTAAGCTTCCAGTTCTCTTTTTTGATTTTATAATGGAGTGGCTGGATTGCTTTTGTCTTCATGATTTCCCACAGAGGCCCAATTCAGATGAGGGTTAAATATTTTCAGGCTTTCTTCTAAGGTCTGGATCCCCCCAGGAACGATTTTGGCCTCAGGAATTTGGGGGTTGGACTGGCCTGGGAGCCTGGCCCAGGAAAGATGCTGGTCTAGGGCAGCTGGTGGCCATGCCACCCAGAGATGCAAAGGCAGATGGGGCGGGAAGAGGCCCCAAGGACTCCTGGGGACTGCACTGAGTAGCTGTGTTGGTCTGGATGCAAAGGATCAGGAAGAGGAAAGGGCAGACCCTGTCCCAGAAAGAGGCTGGGGGGTGGTGCAGGCCCAGGGAAGCAGAGGGAGGTGAGGGCAGGGCCAGGCCCAGAAGCAGTGCTCCTGGGGCCCAGAGAAGGCTCTATATTGGTGTGGATGAAAAGGCTGAGGAAGTAGTATTGGTTCCCCAGGTGTCTGGGGCCTCAAGAAAAGGAATGGGACAGGACCCAAAGTAGGAGAGACTGGAGGGGGAGATGGGAGGGCGAATGAGGGAGGGAGTCAAGGCTTGGAGGTGTGATGGACTTACCCTGGAGATAGGCCTGCGGGTAGGAGAGAGCTAGTTTTATTTTTATAATTTTTGCTCTAATTCTCAATCTGTCTGTGCTTCTTGATTCTTTTCCTTATCCTTTCATTGTTTCCTGTATTGTAGCTTAGTTAATTGACCCTAAGGCCTTGCATATGATAACCACATGCTCTTAAAGTACAACCCGAGAGTCTCTCTTAACTAGTGACCAGCAGAATTAGAATTCTATTTGTATGATTATTTCACATGAGGACTTCTTCATGCCGTGCTAACTCATCACCTGTGGAGAACACCTAGGTTAACAATTCTAGCTATTTGGGGCATCACTGAACAGAAGGTGAGAAACTTATCAATGGAGAGTTTCTTTATGGATGAAAGAGCAATGCACATAGACTTGCTGTTAGGTCATTTTGGAAAAGAACAATCTGGAGGAGAACTTACCAAAATATAAATTATCTAAAGATATAAGATATAATAATTTAATCCAGGCTTTTGTGGTGCATGTATGTAATCTCAGCACTCAGGAGGCCGAGGAAGGAGGATCACTCTAAGTCAGAGATCAGCCTGGCCTACATAAGAAATTCCAAGGGTCAGACCCAGTTCCACTCCCGAAAGATATAATAATCAGAATAGGATTGTGTTGCATCAAGATAAGACAAGTATACGAACAATAAAGTAGATTAAGCCACAAAATTAACTGATGTAGATGTATAATTTGGTAAGCATAAACAATACTGACACTTAGAGTCTACACTGAAATTATGAATATACAAAAAAATAGTACATAATCCAAACTCCCCAAAGTAAAAGTCTCACTTCAAAGGGGTTGTCCTAAGAAGTCAGTGGGTGTCTATTTATACCTACTTTTATGTACTTACACTAATTATTTTCACTTACATGAATGCATAATTTACTTTTTGTTTTTTATTAAGTGATATAAAAGTGCTATAACTTCTAAATATTGTTCCTCAATATTTTTTGAATTTTTGTTTTTTGTTCTTGAGATAAGGTCACATGTAGCCCATGCTGCTCTGTAGTTGATGTAGTTGATGCTGTCCTTAAACTCCTAATTCTCCTATTTCCACCTCCCACTTTCTGGGATTATAGGCATGTTGCCACCATGCCCAGCTTTCCACAATATTTTTTAAATCCAAGAATACATTTTTCTTCATGTCAATACACATAAATCTGTTTTGATCTTTTAATGTGAACATGACATTTATGCACAGTGTAGATTTTTAAGCCATTCTTTTCCATGAATGTTTCTAATATTGTCCAATTTGCTCACTATTATTGATAATATGGCAATAGTAATTCTCATTCACATCTCTGTGTGTGAGACTGAGTGGTTCCGTTGGATTAGGGCACAACTGAGGAACAAAGTACAGGATATCTATCTAAATTTGAATTTCACATAAAGAAGTAATAATTATATAGGATTTGAAAATTGCTTTATCACAAGTACATCTCAAAATTGCATAGGAAAAATGTACACAAAAAAGCATTTGCTGTTTGTGTGAAATTCAAGTGTGCCTGGGGAGCCTATAGTTTATCTGGTACCATTCCCAGGATGAGCACCTATAAGTGAATATTTTTGACAAGTATATACATTGAAAATTTCATTAAATGTTGTCCACCCATTTCTGGTGTTTTACCACATTTGATGGATATCCATTTAGTTTTCCTGGTCTTATGTCTCTTTGTTTCAATCAGCATTTCCTCAGTCACTGTGGGGTTGAACTTTTAAGAGAATATTTATCAACCACTTGAATTTCTGACTCAGGTGAGGATAGCCACATGGTTTTGGCCTTTTTATGATGTCCATATTTTTCTAGAGCATGCTATTGTGGGAAGTATGAAGCATGGCATAGGGTTGGGGTGCCAAGGCCAGGGCTGAAAACACAGAGCAGGAACAGACCTGTAACTCCATCTCTCCCCCTGAGCATACTGCTGTAGGCCTGGGTCTTTGCCTGGTGGTGCCTCTTCTGGAGTTGGCTTGGCCTTTGCCCTTTTCTTGAACCACAGAGCCCTGTCTGGTCTGGGTATGGACAGAGGATGGGGTTGGACAGTTTTCTGGAATGGTTGCAAGGCTTTGTCAAGAGGAGAGCAGAGAACTGGAACAAGTTTCATAGCAGAGGTGGGGAGTGCTCCAGGGAACAGCTGCCTCCAAATCACAGGTGAAACCCTTCATGTGGCCAACCACCTGCATTTAGTGGGCAATGCAGAGAAGACTGTGTATTACTGGCAGAATCTTAATGAGGGTGCGCAGCCAAGGATTCCTGTATTTCCCTAGGCTGGCTTGCTTTTCTTAAAACAAAAACACAAAAAACAATTAGAAAGCCATTTGAGGAGAGAGACCATGTGAATCATTGATCATGAAAAGCCTGTGGGTGAAGTTTAAAATGCATGTCCAAATGAAAAAGTGTTCTGTGAGGCTTGGATTAAAGGAAAATGTCTCTATGTTGATAACTGCCTGTGGGTGAGGGTCCAGTCTGGAGACAGAAATGATGTTGGTTATTTGTGCTGAGAACACAATATAAAGGCTGCCTGAGCAACAGAAGGCAGATGGTTGTTGAAAGGAGGGAAAGAGCACTTTTAAGTGTCCAGAAGCTGTCGGTGCAAAAGAGCAGGTTCTACTTCAGAATCAGAAAGAGCAGAGCATGAAGAGAAGACACCCTCCCTCCCAAGCTTTGAATCAGAACTTTTTGAAGACTGTGTCTGTGAAAAGAACATGCAGTCTGCCGGGGTGGAGAAAGTTGCCGGGGAGAGTCAGGGTCTGTGTTGCTCTATAGAAGGGACCACCATTGCAGCCTGAGGGAGAGTGGGGGCGCACCAAAGGATGGAGCTGCCCAGGGACTGGAGTGTGTGGCTGCTGACCTCTGACCTCCTGCAGTGAATTCCAGGAACTCCAGGCTGGAACTAGAAAGGGAGCATTTTCCTGTTGGGACTTGCAGGGGCACTGGAGTGCTCTAAGCCTGCAAAGCCTAGCACTCACTTAGCTCCCACAGGAGAAAGGCTGACAGAGACCACCATTTCTACAATAATTAGGGAAAGGGTTGATTTAGACCTAGTAGACAACAAGTGGACCACAGCCTCAACAGACCCCAGAAAGCAACTACACACTGTACTTAGTTCAAAGGCAATGGAGTCCCTCCCAATAAAACTAAGAACAGAAAAGGAAGTTTCCTATGACTTGCACTATACAACATGGTGTCATAGTCCCAAGTCATCGTGATAAGAAAAAGGAAAAGTAATATTATGATTGCAGCATGCAACAAATACCCACTGAAAATGGATTTTAATTAAGGAGAGTTGTTAACATGGATTTATAGCAGATAAATACAGAAAGCACATGTTCAAACAATTTCCCACGTGTTCAAAAACAATTAGAAGATATAATGGAAAAACATTCAATTCATAGTAGCAGTGAAGCAAAATAAAGTGCATTGATAGGCTTAAGAAATATGCAGGAGGTATGCAAGGCAAGCTATAAAAATAACTGAAGCACTCTAAATAGAAGCCAGAATCAGTAGACGATCCGAGGATTTTGTGGTGAGAATCCTCCCCATTTTACTGATGTCAACTGTCCTCATGCTGAGTTCTATATATCAAGCAATTCTGGTTAAAATCAATGTTTTGATCTGGGAAAATTTTGATCCTGGTGTTCATAGAGGACAAGGTTTTTCAAAGTATTTGAAAACAACAACGAAGGGGAACTGGTTCTACTCAGACAATAAAACAATGTTTAAGTCTCTATATTAGAAGGCTCTGTCACAAAATCCCATCAATGGGAGTACTGAAAAGCAGAAGCATCTAGATCGTGTGGAAATTAAGAAAGGTTGTAGTAAGATACACAGACTGCAATGGACATTTAGCTATGGGCAAGGAAGCTGGGTGGTTCCTGTCTAGGCAGAGCAGGTGGGAAAAGGGAACGCTAGCCTGTTGGACATCATACAATATAAAAGAGGAACTTGCTGGGGTGGAGGCCTCTTCGTATTCCTTGCAGGCTTCCCAGAAATTGACCTCTGAGCCCAGGGCTTATTAAAGGCTCCTGAATGTCAGATGAGAGGCGTAATGAAAGTACTTTGTGAGGGCACAGTGGGGCCCAGTAAGGTGGGTGGAAGAGAAATAAAGGAAAATGTCATTAACTTTGGAAAGTTAGATTATAATTAATAACGTTCTAGGCGCTCTACTGGAGAAGAAACGTCCAAAGAGCATGCTGTTCCCCTCCCCAGATTCACTGATCAAAAAGAAGAAATGGAAATACATCTGTAGCTGTTGGCTGAGGTTGCTTTTTCCCCAGTCCATTTTCCCGTAGGTCGCGGATGGTCACCAGGCACAAACATTGTGTGTATGCAGTGCAACGTAATTATGAGAAAAACACAAAGGAACAGTCGCCAAGTGCTCAGTCTCGGCTAGGTAGTGAGGAAAGGCACTCTAGGGGACTGTACAGAGAGGAAGGAGCAGGGCCTGCTGCTGGGGACAGGCCTACACTCGGGCAGAGGCATCTCCTAGGGAGCCTTCTCCACAAGCGGGAGGAAGAAGGAGACACAGATGATCCCAAATGCCCGTATTCTTCCCAGCAACAGCCAATAGGCAGCAAGGGTTTGCTCTGGGCCTGGCCTGGAGGCTTCTGGTCTCTTCCAAGCCTAGCATCAGTGGCCCCCACCTCTGGGAGCAGCACCCCCGCATCCTTCCGGCCCCAGACTGCAGTACCGTCTCCGGCCTGCGGAAGCACTGCGGGGGGCAGCGCCCGCGCGTTCCCACAGCTCACGACAGAGTCAGGCGGCCGAGGCTGCGCCCCATCCTCTGCCTGCTGCTTCCTGGTCCTCGGGCTCTGAGGGCCGCGGCCTCGGCAGGGGCTCCCGGTCTTCTCGGCGGCAGGCGCAGCGTCCGCGGCGACGTCACGGTCCTCGCGGCCTCGCACACAGCGCTCGGGCCCGCCGCCGAATGCCCGTGGACGCGCATCTCCTCCCCGAGTTCCTGCTTCCCGGGCCAGCCAAAGCCGCAGGTGAGAACGTCCGCGGTAGAGGTGGCACCCAGGGCCTGCGGGTCTCAGAGGCCCCCTGGCCTCCTTCTTCTCTCCTCCTTGCCCAGGAAAGCCCCGCGGGGGCGCCTGCAGCGGGGACGCTAAGTGCTTCCCGGATCCACTTCTTCTGAGGCACGTAGCCCCCGCCCAGGTGCTTCTGCAAGCTCCTTTATGGACCCCACACACCCCTAGGGGTTCCCCCGCCGAGCACCCCGCGGGCCCCTCCACCCTTGGCGCGCATGCCCAGAGGCCCTGGGAGCTAGAAAGTAGCTGAGCTGCTGGCGCAGTACCTGCTGGTTAAGAACGCGAAGACTGTGCGGATCAAAAGGGCAGACATGCTGAAGTATGTCATCAAAAAAGGTGCAGGAGCTTCTTCCCCGAGATTTTCAAGAGAGCCTCTGACCTCCCCGAGTTAGTCTTTGGGTCTAGGTGAAGGAACGTGGCCCGCCAGAGCACTCCTATGTCCCGAACAGAAAAGTCCGTCCTGCCCTGCTTTGGGGCCCGCTGTCGGCCTGGGCGCACCAAAGACTGGGCTTCCGCCGAGTACCCCGGACTTGATCTTCATGCAGGCCACCTGTATCCCCGAGGAGGTGTTCTGGGAGGTGTGGAGGGTTTTGGAGGTATGTTCTCCTAAAAAACATTCCATCCGTGGGGAGCCATCACCAAAGCGCATCGCTTGTGTGCAGCACAAGTATCTGGTGCACAAGTAGGTGTCCAACAGCAGTCCCGTGCTCTCGGTATTCTTGTGGGGCTCTCAAAGGAAACAAGACAGATGGAAGTCCTGGAGTTTGTGGCCAAAGTGAATGACACCCACCCCAGAGCCTTGCTGTGGCAGTAACTGAGGCGTTGAAAGAAGAGGAAATACCTGGTCCCCGAGACGCAGCTGCTGGTGATGATGTGACAAGTGCGAGTGTTAGTGCCAGTTCCATTTCCAGGGCCTGTGCCATGGCTGAAGCAAGCATCAGCACCAGTGTCAATGCAAGTGCCAGTGCCAGTGCCAGGGCTAGAGCCATGGCCTGAGTGATGGTCAGTACCGGGGACAGTACCAGTGCTGGTTACAATCTCAGGCTAGAGCCAGGGCTTCTTTTGCCACCAGGCATGGCTGGCACTGAGAGTTCCTCGGTTTTGCTGCAGGTAGTCAAAGGGGTGCTGGAGCAGTGGGCCCCGGGGCTCTGATTTAGGAAGCTTGCACAGATTGACTGCGGCCCGGAAGGATAAATGGCATTTCTCTTCCAGTTCTCTGTGTGCTTCTTGGTGACTTAGCTCTCAACTTTCACATGGCAAAGTTGCACTTGCTTTGTTGTTACGGTTTTTTCTACTGATAATCTATAGGCAAAATGATGAAATTAAGTGATAGGGGCTGTAGATGTAGCTCAGTGGTAGAAGGCTTTCTTCTCATGCGTTAGGCCGTGGGTTCTATCCCCAGAACCACAAAGTAACACACATCAAAACCGCCTCACTGTGAACAGAATTAACTCACAGTTGAAGCAGAATTCATATTAAATATCCCTTCCAAATCCTTGCTTTCTAGACATGTGAGTGAATCTCAGCATTTAAGTTTATGCTTGGCATTTGTCCAGTGTTTTAGTGGTCCTTATCTCAATTTTAGGAGAGATTTGCTATTTTACAGGAAACAGTTGTGACACTGTCATGTTATGTTGGAAACACACTAGAGTATTGGAGCAAGTAGTTCTTTGAAACTCTGAAGGAATTTACAGGACAATGACCTCCCTCCAAATCTCAAAAGATAAAATACAGATTTGGTCAACATCTGACATACAAGACACAGCTGATATTTACTTGTCTTTACCTAGATCTCTGGAATGTAGGGGAAATAAAAAAATGTAATGAATTAGATACCTTGCTCATGGACTCATTTATTTAAAGTATATTTAATGACTATTGCATGTAAGGCATTGTGCCGAGCATTGGAGATTCAAAGATACACCAGACTCAACCTCTGCCTCACATCTGAGAGTCTAGTTGGGGCTATTATGTAAGTAAGTTAGCTACATGTAGTTAGGGGGGAGTGTATGAACCAGGTGGTGAGGGAGCTGAGAGGAGGGCCATCTAACTCTTGGAAGTGGGCATCTGGGAGGCAGCAGGTTTCATTGCAGAGAGTTGTCCCCTGAGATCTGCAGCACTAGAGACATAGAAAATGCAAAGGCCTTGAGGCAGGGAATTGTGGGTACCTGGAGAATGCCATGCTTCCATGGAACTGGAAGGTTAGAATTAGAGGAGACTGGAGAGATTATCTGGGAGTAAGGTCACATGCACAGGACTCACAGTCTTTAGTTGGTCTACTTCAGGGCTGAGAGATAAATGTGAGGTTGGAAATGACTCTTTGGGACCAGACAATCTGGGCTCTTGGGAGAGCCAGAGAGAAGGCCCAACTGTGGCAGCTGCTGTAGAATCATCCATGCAGGTTGTCCACTGCACATGCTGAGCCCTTTCATACATCATCTCTAAGGAGTGGCAGGAGACGGGTAAGTGTCTATTCACCAGAGCAGAGATCATCTCTTGAAGTCTGGGCACTGAGCAGAGATTGTCCCCCTGGGGCCTGGAAGAGCCAGAGATTAGTGTCTTATGAGGACATTGGTATGATTATAGTTAGGTTTTATAAATTAAAAAGCAACAAAGGCCTGGATGTTAGCAGCTGTAAATGATTCTGTTTCTGTTATGGGAATACTGTTGGTAGAGGTGAGAAGCAGATTAGCCTGGAACAGAGCCAGAATGATGGCCAGCCTGAGGCCCCAAACCAGTTTGGATGGGCTACAGAGGTTTCCATGAGTGGGGGGGCGGCTGATGAGCCCACAACCTTACCAAATTGCACTGGCCAGCATGGCATGGTTTCTGAAGGACCTGCATTTTCTGCGCTAACTTAAAATAGCTCCCGGTGGGGATCATGAACAGACTAACCAGCCCATGATTACCTTTGGTCCTTACAGGTTGACAGGCACATTTGGAATATGTTCTGGTAGGCCTTGGAAACTTCTTGTACTCTAGGCTCAAATACCATGTGATCTGGTTGCTACCAGTTCTCTTGGGGCCTCCCACAGGATATGTGGGGTCCAGGGCCCTTCCCTTCCTCCCTTTTGTGCTAGCTTCAAGGAGAGATGGCTGCTGGAGGGGTGGGGGGTGATCATAATATGGGAATGTGAAATATGGAGAGAATGGGGAAGTGTTGTGGGAATGTTCTGCTTCATCTAGGATGGGGCTCAGGCATGGATATGTGGGTGTCACTCCAAAGCCTTCCTTCCTGTCCCCAAACAGCTCTTCTCTGATTCAGATCCCACAACCATTGTCAGGCTGTATTGAGATGGTATTTTGTCTATTTCTTACATTCATTTTTTTTCTCCACAATAAGTATGGAAAAGCTTTACTTGTAGCCCACAGTTCTAATAAGTATGTAGCAACATTCTCTGTTGTCCCATGACAAGTACCAAGGATGTGGTCCATCCATTTGTATGCATCTGAAAATCTTCTCCATCTCCAAATTCTAAGATTATCCCACAAAATAGTACTTTTTCTGAGGAGGTGCAGGAATGATATTGACGCAAACCTCAACAGACATCAAGATGTATTTCCACCTGCATTGGAAAGAAGCAGGAGAAAGCCAGATATGGCAGATGGAGACCAGGTTGTCTCTTAGAGTGGTTCCTTCTTGAGGAGAGGTGGGATGCTTGGGAGCTGTTTGTGAGCTCTGAAGTCTAAAGCACTTTCATGAGTCCACATATTCTTCTCGAAAGCGGTTCTCCCCCACCCCCACCCCCCTTCATAAACACTGTCCAAGATTTCTCAGATATGAAGCCTGCTTGCATGTTCTGCAGGGGAGGAGAGACATACTAGACCCTCCTCCTGACTCCGTGCAAGCGCCCTCTAGGGGTCAGATCTGCCAGCTGTGGGAAATTCACTGTATCCTGGTCTCTGTGCATTGGCTGTAGAAGGAGGGTGAATGGCCTTCACGACTATGGACACTGCTAGCTCTTCTCTCCACAATCCCCTACCAGACCAAAACTGACACCCTCAGGGCATCTGAGATTGGTGTCAGTATACAAAGCAAAGCAATATCACAGAGCCACAATAGTCAAGCATGCCAGCATTTATTTAAGGCTCACTGAACAAGATAGTTGGGAGACCCAGGGCCTGGGAAGAAGGGCTTGGTACTGTTCATGGCCTCATGTCTTTGGCTCCCATGATCTCAGCCTCGGGATGCCCAGTATCTTCTCCTGAGAAGGAAAGAGAGGAACAAACAGACTCTTTGAGAGCCTGGGGGAACTGAGACATGGGCTGGGGTTCTCTTGCATGGGAGAGGAAGGGAGACATCTCAGCTTCCTGTGTGCAGCGAGAGAGGCAGAGACTGGCTCAGAACCCTCACCTGAAGAACTTGGCCACATGTGCGTGCCCTCTCTGGAACCAGCCCTTCCAAGACCTTCCCCGAGGAGCAAACTCGCTGGTGTGGCCTTGGCCACTGGCTGAGCTCTCCATGGTGTGAAGAAAGACAACCACTTCCTGGGATCGTTCTTATGGGCCTTGCAGGGCCTACAAAAGAGTCAGTGACCTCCTCCCAGCATGCCTGGAATCAGTTACCTTATTCAGCTCCTGCAATGGGCATTCAATCCCCACCACCAGTTGAGGTACTGAGGATGGACCTGTGCTGACCAAACCCCAGCCTCCTGGAAGGTGTTACAGACAAGAACAGAAAAGAGACTCACCGGCCCCAGAGGTAGAAAGAAGACAATGAAGATCATGCTTCCAGGAGTGTGTGAGGAGCCAGGAGTGACTCTCAGGACTTCCTTGACGAGATCTGTGGAGCTCCTTAGTCTGCTGGATGCAAAGAGGAGACCCGCCCCCCTCCATGCCCCCAGGCCCTCTGCCTCTGCCCTTCCTTCCTGTTCCTCCCTTTACAGCCCAGTACATTCTTCCCAAGCAGTGGATACATTTCTGATATGTTGCTACCTCTCTGTTCCTGTGTCTCTTCC